GGGATCATGACCTGAGCCGAAGGCAGATGCTTAACGACTGAGCCACCCAGGCGCCCCTAAAATAAGTTTAATTAATATGTTAAAGGCTCTTGTAGAAAACGTAGACAACATACATTAAGAGAGAAGAAATCTTAAAAAAAAAAAAGAGAAGAAATCTTGGCAAAGTAAGAAAGAAGACTTGACAATAAAAACTACCCAAACTAAAGCACAGAGAAAAATAAAATACACAGAAGAGAACATTCAAGAACTATGGGACAATATCAAATTGTCTAATATGTGTTATTAGAATCCCAGAAAGTGAAGAGCAATGGGTAAGAAGAAATACCTGAATATATGTTGGATGAAAATTTACCAAAAATTATGAAAGACATCAAATCACAGATCTGAGGGAGCTCAGGGAACATGCCAAACACACAAACGCACAATGTATAAAAACTACACATATCATATTCAAACTGCTGAAAACCAAAGAGAATCCTTCTGAAGGCATTAGGCAAAGAGGAGTGGTGGAAGCACACATTACAAACAGAAGAAAAAAGACAAGAATTACAGTAGACGTCTCAAAAGAAACTAGAAGAGCCAGAGGCAATGGAGTATTTTTTTTTAAGTGCTGGAAAAAAACCAAAAAACTGCCAACCCAGAATTCTATACAAAGTGAAAACACCATTAAAAAATGCAGATAGTGATGCCAGGTGCTGGGGGCAGAAAAGGACTAAAAATGGGCATGGGGGAGAAAAAACATGAAAAGCTCTTAACTATAAGAAACTGAGGGGGCGCCTGGGTGGCTCAGTTGGTTAAGCGACTGCCTTCGGCTCAGGTCATGATCCTGGAGTCCCTGGATCGAGTCCCTCATCGGGCTCCCTGCTCGGCAGGGAGTCTGCTTCTCCCTCTGACCCTCTTCCCTCTCATGCTCTCTATCTCTCATTCTCTCTCTCTCAAATAAATAAAATCTTAAAAAAAAAAAAAAGAAAAGAAACAAACTGAGGGTTGCTGGAGGGGAGGTGGGTGGGGGGATGGGGTAATGGGGTAACTGGGTGATGGACATTAAGGAGGGCATGTGATGTGATGAGCACTGTGGGTGCTACACGCAACTGATGAATTACTGAACACTACATCTGAAACTGATGATGTACTGTATGTTGGCTAACTGAATTAAAAAATGGGCATGGGGTTTCTTTTTGGGGTGATAATAATGTTCTGAAATTAGACAGTGATGATGGTTACCCAACATTTTGAATACTAAAACCACTATACACTTTAAAAGGGTGAATTTTATTAAATGTAAGTTATAGCTCATAAAGAGAATGATGATTAAAAAAATGAACTAGGTAGTTTTTTGGACAAACAAAAGTAGAATTCATCTGCAGGCCTACACTACAGGAGGAACTTTTTTTTAAAAGATTTTATTTATTTATTTGACAGAGAGAGAGATAGTGAGAGCAGGAGCACAAGCAGGGGTAGTGGGAGAGGGAGAAGCAGGTCTCCCACCAAGCAGGGAGCCCGATGTGGGACTCGATCCCAGGACCCTGGGATCAAGACCTGAGCTGAAGGCAGACGCTTAACGACTGGAGCCACCCAGGGGCCCCACTACAACAAGAGGTATTAAAAGAAGTTCTTTAGGCTTAAGGGATATGATACCAGATAGAAACTTGGATCTACCCAAAAAGTAAAGATCCATGGAAATGGCTAAAAATTAAGATATTTTTTAATCACTCTAAAATATAATTGACTAAAGCAAAATAGTAGCATGTATTGTTGAGTTTATAGCCTATGAAAAAGTAAAACCTATGACAATATACCAAAAGACGGGAGGAATCAGGAATATACGTTATAAAGTTCTTATACTACACAAGAAGCAGTTTATTCTTTGAATGCAGATTATTAATTTAAAATGTATCCTATTGGGACGCCTGGGTGGCTCAGTTGGTTGAGTCTGCCTTCGGCTCAGGTCATGATCCCAGGGTCCTGGGATCGAGTCCCACATCGGGCTCCTTGCTCAGCAGGAGCCTGCTTCTCCCTCTGCCTGCCACTCCCCCTGCTTGTGCTCGCTCTGACAAATAAATAAGATCTTAAAAAAAAAATAAAATGTATCCTAGAGAGCAGCTATCAGAAACATTTTTTAGGGGTGCCTGGGTGGATTAGTCAGTTGAGTGTCTGCCTTTGGCTCAGGTCACAATCCCAGGGTCCTGGGATCAAGCCCCACATTG